CTTGTTATTTCACCTGTTTAGCAAGAGATGAAGGTTGTCTGCTTGAGACAAAAATACCCTGCCCCAGAGCAGCAAGGGGCTCTGGGCTAAGCCTCTTGCAGGACTATGAATAGGTAATTTTCCAGAATTACTGCATGAGATGGAAAAAAAGGAAACGATTTTCCTTTGAGATTAAATAATTATATATATTTTCCTCTGAAAAGGCACGTTGAATTATCCTGGATAAACTAGTATTCTGACCAACTTAGTCTACCTATTCTTTTACTGTTTAGAAATATGGAACAAGATTGGATCTGCAGTGGTATAATTTTTCACATTACTGTGACTACTTTGTGCTGTATCTTGTTGTTATCATGTGTTTCATTAAGTCACATTAGTAATCTGTTTCTAAACCAGTCTGTTGTGTTCAACTAAATAATTTCTCAATTTCTCCCTATAGAAATTGAATAAAAAAATATGTTTTCATTACCTTGGAAAGAAATTTGATGTTTAATCAGAAATAGCTAATCTTGAATTTGGTAAGACTCTTTGATTATACAAAGGACAAACCTCTTCTCCTTTGGTTCAAAAGTAAACTGGTCTCTACCTGACACTGATGAAGACAGTGTCTTTCCCTCTTTATCCTCTCACAGTAGTGAGATACTGTTATTAACTGTTAGTTACAAGCGGTTTTACTCTGAAATAGATGGGAGTCAGAGGTCCCTTCTACCTTTGGTAATGTTGTTTCCTAATTATTCAACTGAGTATTTTGCAATTACTGAGGAATATCTTTAGTGCCAGTAGCTCGGTGTGCAGCTCCAGTGTGAGCTGCAGGTTGAGCTCTGGTTGTTAGGAGCCTGAGACAAGAGGCCGGGAGCTGGCACCGACTCTTTGCAGAACAAAGAGACCTGTGGCACCAGCCAGGCGACTGAACACCCAAAGACACAGCAGGAGCCGAGGACTCAGCTAGAAGACAACAGATTTTCATGCACACAGACTGTGAGGGTATAAAAGCACAGAAAGGCCTTTGTTCAAGGCCCCTCCTCAGAGGCATCAGCTCAAACTGTTTCTGTGTCACTGTACCATAAATAAATTGCTTTACAGAACAAGACGTCTGAGACTCTGTCATGGGAAACCTGGGGTGAAGCTGGTGAGGAAACCTGGTCTGGCTCTGTGAGTGTGGGGAGTGTAGGGAGTCAGGTGGGGCACCTGTTGGCTCACTGGAACCGCCTGCTGCGAAGGGGTCTCGGTCTCAGTAGTAAAGGTCTCTGGTGGTGGGAGTGTGACTGCCAGAGTGGCTCCTGTATGGTCAAAGAAGTTTCCTTAACACAGCGTCACCTAAAATTACAGTGAGGTTTTATGACCCACATAATTTATGATCCACACACTTTCTTTGTTGGGAAATTTGTCAAGGAGGAAAGGATCTCCAACCCAAGACAATTAATCTTCTGGTAGAGTCAGTCTGTTCCTATCCTGTATAGGTGTCCTCAGACTCTCCTCATCATTACTAAATATGTGAGCTGGTTTAGGATTATTCTTATTTTCAAATAATGCGTAAATCTTAAGCCAATCTGCAGATCCTTTACTCTCTGAGGTAAAGTGCTTCCTGCTAGTCCTTCTGGTGTTTTTCATTCACATGGTAATGGATTCACTACCATATTTCCCAGGGAACATTTATAGACTGATAGACACCCTCTCAACAATTGTAATGATTTTTAGGGAAATTAAACTTTGAGTTGTTCTTGTTTTATAGCATCATTTCAGCTTTCTTTGTTTTAATCAGTCTTCCAAGAAAGGAGGGAATTAAGTCAGGTCACTGTTTTTAATTTGCAAAATAGCACTTAGATACTCACCTCCTGTAGTTCAAAAAAAAGAAACAGGTACTTTGAAGACAGAGTCACTTTGATTAAAGGAACAATCCAAGTCTGCTGAATGTGCCTCACTGGTAATTTCAGCAACTGGAAGCCTAGGCTGTCTTACAAATGCGAAACTAGCTAACATTTGTCATGCTATGTTTCATTTTAGTTTAATTTGTTGTATTTCAGCATTACACATCACCGCAGATGATTTGAGCTATAAAGTAATGTGCAATGATTTGAAATTATTTGGGAAGGGATTTTATAGTAAAAACTTGTTTCTTTCTGTCACACAATGTTACACAATATGAAAATGTGAAGTACATTAATGCTGAAAAACCAATATAGTATTTTCTGCAGCTCAGGCATTCAGTTAGAGTAGAGCTTTAGGCCACCTTCAAGGAATATTTTCCTCAGGCATTTCTCATGTTATTGTCTACTGTTTGACAATGAGGGGTTCAATGCCTGAATGTCATGAAAAATTGTAAGTATTGTAATTACTTAAATTCTTTATATCCTTTCTTTTGGATTTGAAAAGCATTACTGAATTTATTCAACTGAAAGGAAAAGACTAGAGCAGATATTAACAAAACCAAAATATAAAACCTGGTTTTTCACCTAAACTGTTTCTTGAACTAAACTCTCGACCAGTATTAGTGTTGAAAGTGTTAACAATTTGTCTGCTTTAAAAATCATAGGAAGATAAAATTAATGTTAAAACTCTTCCTTAACAGTGTTCAAACACACACGAAAATTTCCTGGTATCTTTTCATCCTAAGAAAATGTTAATTAGAAAACACATATTTATATATATAAAGCTACTATAAAACAAGTTAGATCTAAATTTATATGACCTGTACATTTTGAATTAGATTTGAAAGTTCATTGCTACAAAATCAGTATTGCATATGATTTATGTGATATAGACTATTTTGATCTATTATTTTAAAAAGGAAAAATAAAAGATTTTAAATTTGAAAAAGGAAGAATATCCTTTACATTTCCAGTCAACCTGAATGTAAATGGCTTGCTTTACTGGATGCTATGATAGGGTAAAGCTCCCTACTTTTCTATAGCTTTTCTAAATTAAGCATAATTTCAAATACTGTGTACCATTTTTAATATAAGTACAAAATTGTGGAATGAAGGTTTGAAAAAAATATACTAAAGGACAAGAGGTTTGATTTGCATATTGTGCTGTCGAAGGAACTCAAAATATAAATGGTTGTAAAGAAAACATTAATGTAAATGTATTTAACTAAAAGATTCATCTGTTAGGATAGTAAAAGAATATATATTTTATTTAGGATTATTTAGCATCTTGGTTTTTAGGAAAATAAATTAAGAAAACAAAGAGGTGTTTGTTTGTTTGTCTGTTTCTAAATTGAGAGATAGTGAAAACATTATCTAAGACAGAAAAATACAAACCCACAGATTAGAAAGAATTGCTTATTACACTAGGGAGAAAAAGTTCTGAATGATATTGCATCTTTATTTGAAGCACTGGTATTCAATTTAAAGAGAAAATTTGGAGAAGATAAAGACTAAAAGAAAATAAGAGATGATGGTTTGCTGGAAACTTGACTATGAATCTGCAGTCAGGCCTGCACCACATACCCAGTAATGTTCCTCATAAAACTAGCAATGAAAAATTCTTTAACATACACCATTATGTTACCATTGTGTTACCAGAAAAAATTCTCAGATAAAAATACTGCCGTGGATCCTATGACTGTTACAAAGAGAATAATAGTGATAAATCAAAAGGAACCAAGAAATAAATTGCAAAATGGTCATGAATTTGTGCAGAGACATAATTGAGGGTAGGCAGGAAGGAGACATGAGTAACCCAACATTTATAATTAATAACCTTATAGTAAATAAGGTTACTGATTAATACTTTTTCCATGATTCCATGAAAGTCTAATGTCAATTTTTGCTCTGATATGATATGAATATCATATCAGATGGAGAAGAGGCTCAGTTATTACATGGACACTGAATATATAGTGGAAGAAGAGAAACTTTCAGAAATGAAAGACACTTACTCAGTATGACAAGATACATTCCTGGAAATAAAGATATTGAAAAAAGAGACAGTGAAGAAATCTTTTATGACTGGTTGATGTCTTTGGAGATGGTAGAGACTCTGAAAGAAAACTGCAGCATGTATTTGGAGGATCTCTATACAGACTCTTCAAAATTCCAAGAGCAGGAATTAGGGAACAAACATGCAATATTATTAGGAAGATGAAATGAATGAATGATTAGATTATTACCCTACAAATGGCTAGGTATCTCTAGAAGACTTCTAGGTGCTTTCAAAAATCCAATACCTCGTACTTAATCAGTATTTCAAACATTAATCAGAGGGAGGACCTGTCACTGATTCGCTTTACGCAAAAAGGCTCATTACAGAGGATGATTGCAATATCAGAACTACCACTGAGATGTACCAGACTAAAATCTGAAGTGTCTTGTCTGCTAGAGCAAGAAATCAAAGCCTGTGATTTCATTATTCTATATTATTAACTTTTTGTTCTAACTGCAAGGGGTTTTGTATTAGAAATATAAACATAATGGGGGAATATTTTGTTAGAAGTAGATTTGATAAAAATGTACTCCCTCTCACACAATTTAAACATTTTAAATAACTTTAACATGTATTTTAAGATATTAAGTGTTTTCTATGAGGTCCACTTATTCTTTTGAAAACTTGGTAAAGGTGTATCTAGCCATTCTTGGCACAAGACCCACAGAAAACTCTGGTGGTTTTATTTTATATTTTATGTGTATTTTTTTCAGTGTCCTATACAATACAATACATAAGGATTCCTAGAAATACAGAGGATTCCACTCTCCTTGTCAAATGCCACAACGGTAAATGAATAGCTAATTTTCTTCTTATCTTCTTTCAGCCCAACTTTAACTCTCTTTCACAATTATGTGTCATCTAAATTAAAAGATAAGAGTTTAAATAAAAAGTTCTTTTCACTATAATCGGAATGCTCATGTATAGGGTGTGACTGGCATGGGATGGAATTAACTTTCTCCACAGCAATGCTTATAGTGCTGTGCTTTTTAGCCAGGATGGTATTGATATCACACGTCTGTTTCGGTTATTCCTGAGCAGTGCTCATATAGTAACAAGATTGTCTCTCCTACCACTCCTCACTGCTGCTCCAAAGGCTCGTGGGCTGGTTGTGAGCAAGACCTTGGTAGGAGACTTATCCAGGATTGCTGATCCAAACTGATCAAAAGGTTATTCCATGTCATACAATGTTGTTTTCAGCAACAAAAGCTAAGAGAAAGGAGGAGGAGAGAGGTATTTGTTATTAAGGTGTTCATATTCAGAAGTAACTGCTACAAATACTGAGGCCCTATTTCCCAGGAAGTGACTGGACATCACCTGCTCTTGGGAAGTAGAGAATAATTTTTTTTTGTTTTCCTTTGCTTCCATGTGTGACCTTTGCTCTTCTTCATTAACCTGACTTTATTTTGATGCACAAGATTTTCATTTTATTTTCTTCCCTGTCCTGCTCAGAAGGAGAGCCCTATAGTGGCTTCTTGGGCACCTGGTAGCCATTCAAGGTCAGCCCATCACAGTCCTTGACCAAGGTGGAGCAGCTGAAAATTTGAGACAAGGACAGTAATTGGGAGAGGTAAGAGACAAAACGTGAATTGAACGCTCCCAGAGAGTAGAATAGTTGTGAGGACTTTTTTTTTTCTTTGTGATTATGATGAACAGACAAGGGGTGAAAAGTGTGTAACTTGTCCATCTTTGTTGTTGTGATGATCTTATTTTGACTTTGGTGTAGGAAATTATTTTTGCTTATCTTACATAATTTCCATGGTAAGGTTTTTGCTAGTGCAGACGTTATTAGAGGGGCTTTTGTGAGAAGACATCAGAAGCTGCCCCCGTGTCAGATAACAAATTCCCTCTGGCTCCAATACAGCCTTACTGCTGGCAAAAGATGAGCCCATCAATAATGTTGGTAATGCCTCTGTGATAACATATCTGGAAAGGGTAAAAAAACAGGGGAAAGCAGTGGGAAAATTTGAGAGAAATGGTCCTGCAGACACCAAAGTCAGGGAAGAAGAATAGAGAAGAGGTGCTACAGGAGTTGGAGCAGATATTACCCTGCAGCCCATGGAGCAGACTATGGTGAAGTAGGGTGTTCAGCTGTCATCCATGGAGGTCCATGGTGGAGCAGATATCCACTTCCAGCCCATGGAAGACCACATGCTGGAGCAGGTGCACGTGCCCAAAGGACACTGTGACTCCATGGAAAAAACAGAGCAGGTGCCCTTACAGGACCTGGGAACCCTTTGGAGACCCAGTGCATTCCTGAAGGACTCTACCACATTGAAAGAACCCATGCTAGAGCAGTTCGTGAAGAACTGCAGCCCGTGGGAGGGACTCATGGTGCAGAAGTTCGTGGAAGACCGCCTCCTATGGGTTGGGATGTCACACTGGAGTAGAGAAAGAGTGTGAAGAGGAAGAAGGAGCAAAAAAAATGTGTGATGAATTGACCATGACCTCCATTCCCAGTTTCCCCTACACTGCTCAGGGGAAAGGGAGGAGGTAAATGAGTCAGGAGTGAAGTTGATACCGGGAAGAAGTGGGAGGGAGGGAATTTGGCTTTAGTTTTGTTCCTATTTTTCACTATCTAAAATAAAATCGTGCTAATGCTGTCTTAACTATTTTACCCCATATTTGCTTTATTTTTACATATATATTCTTTGATGACCTATCATTAGACAAATGATGACTGTGCACATGCAAATCCTGACAGCTCACGTTTCAAAGAAGAGTGAAGGTATAAGAATACATGAGAAACATACCTCGCAGTTTGTGATTTCATATGCTGAACTGAATCTTCACCTGCTTTAAATCAGCTCATAAAAGGCTATGTGTAAATCTTTGAACTTCTCTGACTTATTACTCACATACACCTGTCTTAATCACACCAATGGTTCATGACCAACTGAAAGGCCAAAGTGCATGACACTAAATCTATTTTTCACACTTATTTTGACATGTTAGCAATTATATTCTTATAACTTTAAGAGATAGCCAAGAATTTTTAAAAAAAAAAAAAACAAACATGTCCTCAGCTTTCTACAGAAAAAAATTAACAAGAATACATTTATATTGTAATAATGCATTTGAGCAGTTTTTTAAGAGGTAGACTATACAATTACTGTACTGTAAGAGTAAAAATGATGTGAAGGAATTAGAAACAACTCTCATGGCCATACGGGGCATTATTCACACAGAAATATTTTCAAGGCTATAACTACTGTGCAGAAACATAGTCTGAATATTCAATTTGAACTGCTATTCTATCACTTCTGTCAAAAGACTAGGTACATTAGCCTGATGGCACACATTTTATGTAGCATCATTTCAAACGCTGCAACTGATCTAAAACATTTGGAAGTGGATATGAAAGTTCTTATGCAATTGAGAGCACACCAATTCTGGCAGATGTAGAGTTGTTCGCTGTTTATCATAGCACTGAGTGAATGTCACACAGAATTAACAGCACTTATAATTTATGTTATCTGCAATGCAATATTTCTTCATTGTAGCCTGTAATTTTGTTGCAGTGGCTAATACTGTTTTTCTTTTTGTTCAGTAGTTGGGTAAGGCTCTATCAGTAAAGGAATATGATAGCCTTGAAATGGAAAAAAACAGCAAACCTCCAAGTAAACAAATGAATAAAAAAAAATCTCAAGATAAGGTACTGGCTTTATGTTGGCTTATTCCCTCATCGACGTAATTTTCAATGGACTCACGGCACTTCAGACTGGAGAAGTATTACAATTGCTGCAGCCAAGTATAATGTCACATCCATATCAGTAGAATGACGTAGATTTACAAAGATAAGGATTCACTTTTGATCATATTTCTGTTACTACAAGCTTAAAACAACCATAACTTCATACAAGCTCCTGTATTCCTTAGAAATACTTAAAGTCACCTCATCATGGACTGCTCCTATCTGCTTTTTGTCAATCTATGAGAACGAAGAATCTCTGACAACGTGTTTCATCACCATGCAAAATGAAATTTGCTATTTCTGTTTCCCAATGTGAACTTAAGAGTTGTCAAACTGTATTCCTATCCTTGATTCTTTTATCTATTTTTTTGCACTGGGACAGACAAAAACAATTACAGAGAGCATAGGAGGGAAAAGCTGGGAGAGAAGGAATCACAAATGGAGTTAATATTTGAAAAATTAATTATCTTTTCTTAAGAGATGGTCATACTGAATTAAAAACCAAAGATATATCTTTCATCAATAAAATTTTACTTTTAGAATTAAAATCAGAACTCACATTTTCCTTCCTGTTCCTGACCATTTTCCTGTTCGGCTTCTGAACAGGAGTCATAAAATCATGGAATATTCTGACTTGAAAGGGACCCACCAGGTACATTAAGTCCAGTTGCTGATGCTGCACAGGACACTCCAAGAATCACACTAAGTGTCTGTGTCTGAGAGCATTGTCCAAATCCTGCTGTGACCAATTCCCTGGGGAGCCTGTTCCAGTGTCCAAACACACTCTGGCTGTAAAACCTTTTCCTGATATCCAACCTAAACCTCCTCCAACTCAGCTTCATGCTATTTCCTTGAGACCTGTCACTTGTTATGAGGCTGCAGAGATCAGTATCTTCCCCTCTGCTTCCCTTCAAGAGGATGTTGAAGACCACCATGAAGTCTCCTCTCAGTCTCCTCTTCTCCAGACTGAACAAACCAAGTGACCTCAGCTGCTCCTCATACAGCTTCCCCTCCAGACCCTTCACCATCCTCATGGCCCTCCTTTGAATGGTCTCTAATAGCTTAATGTCTTTTTTTATTGTGGGACCCAAAACTACACACAGTACTTGAGGTGAGGCCGCACCAGAGCAGAGTGGAATGGGACAATCACCTCCTTTGACTGGCTGACAACGCTGTGCTTAATGCACCCCATTCTCTAGGCTTTTGAAAGCAGAGAGGAAACTAAGGCAGGAAAAAATACAACTGATGTAAAAGACCTTTGCCTCTTCCCCCTGTTTTCTCTACAGACCGATTCAGAAGTGGAGTAGAGAAGGAGGCAGAGAGCAGTCATATTTCAATTTTTACCTGTGAAGAGAGATGTTACAGGTTGTACAAAAGGCAAGAGAAGTAGCAAAAAAGGGGATATCTAAAATAGAACTTAGATGAAAATATATCATATATGTACTTCAATATATCTTGCTTTCTCTGCTTCTACGAAAATAAATATCTCAGACTTACAGTGGAATCTTCCCCCTCCTGCCCTGCACTTCTGACATGTACAGGCTGCCATTAACAACAGAGTATTAAAAGGAAAGCTGTGAGAAGTGTTGGTGAAAAAAAAAAAAAAAAAGAGTTGTTGAGAGAGGCATAGGAAGCAATGGCACTACAATGTGAAACAGGAGCTGGTAGTGATTCCAGGCTAAAAGAATTCACTGTCACCACTAGTTGATTTAACCTCCATCTTCTTTCTGACTTTCAAGATGCAGCAGCCTTAAGAAACTACAGGAATTTGTAAGGACTGTGTTTGTGAAGTCATAGTGTGAGATGAAGACTGGTGGAGTTGGAACAGGGACTTGGAAAGGAAAGGAATGATACGGAGGGAATAAGTTCTAGGCATCAAAACAACATGCTCTGTCATTACTTAGAATATGGTATTGTATTCAGATGGGAAAGAAGCAAGGAAAACTATAGAGGTAAAGTGTAACAGTTTCTAGACAGGCTATGACTAAGTTCCTGTCTTTATAGCAATAATTTTAAACCTTTACTAATATGTCATAATAATTTCTTTTTTAGGATACTTTGATTTGAAAATTAAAAAGTATCATTTCTTCCTCCCCCCCCAAAAAAAAAAAGATACTTTAATAGGAAACTAAGAATGAATACGTTCCAAACATGTATATTTGAAAAAGAGTTATTGCAGGAATCATTGAAGGTACTGGTTGCTCAAACTACTAGTTGTCCCATTGTGTCCTCCACAATAAATAAGACTTCACTTGTAGTTGCAGGTCCATGAGTTTCAGAGTTAACAACGAGCTTAGGAGAGAGGGGAGAGGAAGATGTGGGAATACGGACAGTCAAATCATAATTCTGCCCTATCATGAATCCTAGCAATGCTATTCTGTAATGAACAATAAATACCACACCTGAATCCAGACTGGATGCAGATTTTTTTGCCTGTCAGGAAATAAAAAGGTGCTGAGCCAAAACACAGTCTAGAGAAACAGAAAACCTTTTTCTAGGTGGACAAACTGTGTGTCCAGAATACTCAAATTAAAGATAAGTTTTACATTTAAAATAAGTAGTCTGTGACTACAATGAAAGTCTAGGAAAGTTACAAAAGAATTTGAAAACAGTGACTTGTGCCAAATGTGTTTTAGGATAAATGAGTATTTTATAATTTCTTTAAGTGGAACATTTCAATGTCAGTATGTTCCCTTTTGAAATGGAACAGAACATTTTGATGGCTCAATTTAAAATTATTTTCTTCTGTGAAATGTACTTCACTTTATACAAAAGAGCAGAATTAAACATAATTGATCATCTTTTACCTAAATGCATTCTTTTTTATTAACAATAATTATTTTACATACACTGTGAAAATCCAATAAAATTTGAGGTTTTTTTGTAATATACAAAGAAAAAAAATTGAACCCACAGAGTTTTATAAAAACGAGAACGCTGTTTTCTGTTTGTTTCAAATTTATAAAAAATACTGTCATAATAACCCAGAGCAATTCTTTACAGCTCTTACACTCTACAACATTCAAGGAACACCATGGAGTCTAGTTAGTTCTTCAAGCCTTTGATCACAGAGTAAGTAACACCAGTTTCCAAGAGCTACCCAGAAAAATAAAAACACTAAAATAAAAACACATCCTCAGGGAGCAAGTGTGCTGGCACAAAATTTATCCTGGGGCAATCAACTGCATAAATGTAGCTAAACATGTGCCATCTGTGAAGGAGTTTGTCCAGTGGAATGAACAGCATTTCTCTTACAAAAGACACAATTGCTTCAGGATGTGATTGTAGGCAGGTAAATTCAGGATAAATGAAACAGTTGCCAGCCTGCTATCTTGAAATGTCTGAAATGGTGACTACATTTTGCGTGGGAGGGTTTACTACAGAAGCGGTAACACAAAGAAGCTTCTCGATGCTTATTCCAGTGTTCAAGTGACTTGTTTACTCCTGAACAGATGGTCGTGCAAACACAGTGCACATCAACTGACACCTTTATTGCCCTAATAAGTAACAGGAAGAATTACCAACTGGTTTCTATCTTGTTAACACAGTGGGATGTGCAGGCTACAGTAAATGCTGCTAAGTGTCAAAGATATCAAACTAGATGGAACCACCAGGAGTGCAGCAAACTAATCTTTCTGGTTGTGTTGTCAGAGTCCTGGACTCCTTTGCATTGGTACTGGATAAAAAAGGAGTGTGTTTATCTCCTTACAGTTCTACTGATCTGCAGAATTTTTTATATTTGCATCTCTTAAAAGTAGCCTTGATTTTTTTTTTCCTGATTTTTCTTTGCTTTTACAGGGTTATATAGTATAAATGGCTGAACTGGGGACCATAAAAGTTGTGGAAAAGAGTACTCACTGCTTGAATGGGATCTGTTCTTCGAATTATACCAAAATCAAGGATGGTGAGGTTTGTGGCATAGGTATGCATGTAGCTCTTTTGGGAGCTGGCAGACCCTGGGGAGAGGGGTATGATAGTGTTTTGTCACAGTGTGGGAGTCCACCATGGGGTCCCAGGGTGTAGCCAGATGGGGACATGGAGAAAGGTGCATCCTCAGAGCCATGAGCAGGCTGAGGGGTCTGCACCTGCTGCAAATACCCCAGTCCTCCTGGTTTGCAGAAGAAGGAAGGTTGAGGTTCATTTTAGAGCCCTTTACACTCTGCCATCAATGAGGATTTTCTGTATAAATGAGATAATTCAGGCTTCTATGTTATTAAAACATTTACTAGACTAGCAGTGGATTCATAACTCCATCTATAAGGTGTGTTCTTTGGATTCAGAACAAGATTTGGGACATCATGTTTGACTTTCGGGAATGCATCAAATGCTGCACTGTTTAGAAAGAACCTATAGCTGCTGGAATACCTGTGTGGGTATGTTTGGTCCCCATTTTCACTTATTTAACTTAACAAAATAACTTCTATTGGTTTGCACTACCTGTTTCTGCAAAGGTAGCCCTTGTCCAGCAGCAATGGCTGAAGCACAGCAGCCTCCCAAAACTAATAGAATGTATTTGGCTTATTACATGATCTTGTCCTCTTAAATGTACAAAGGTAAAAGGTTTTAGGAGAAGAAAATGCAAGCAAATTTCTCCATTTAGTCTCTACAAAAGATGTGACCAGGGCTACATATACACTGTTTGCATCGTGATTGCCTTCTGTCTAAAGGTATCCAGCAATCCATGTGACCCTTTTCACATACTGCTTTTCTAGCATCTATCCTTGTAGAAATGAGGCAGCAAATATAAAACAATATGTAATTTCTGGCAATGTCTATGTCTGAAACTGTCTAAATATCTATTTGTATGATTATTTAATGTAATTGTGTTAAGTCCATTCAAAGGTAATTGAGTCAGACTAATACCATATGTTGTAGTTTTCTGCTCAGCTAAAAAGCAGGTACAGCATAGCCTGTGGTGATGTTTGCTTTCTACTGTCACCTTGCCAGTATCTCATCTCTGAAGGTGCATTATTGAAGATCTCTTTTCTCTGACACTGTCAAAATACAGTTTGTTTTTTTTTCCTTTTTACTGTTATTAAAGCAGCAATAAAAACATAAGGAAAACAAATTATGGCAACTGTCAAAGTAAGATTTCCCTCATAGGTGAAATCTACCCCAGAGGAATTCCAAGCACTGAAACCATGTTAAAATTACTGTGCGCATCAAGGGGGAATATTTAGTGCTTTTAAGAATAAAACTCTATTCCAGAAACAGAGATTTACAGGCATGTCCAATTTTACATGTTATATATCTTATAAATGAGGAACATCAACATTGTCACCAAGGCAGTAGATAAAAAGTTCTAAAAAAATAAGTATTTATTGAATTCGTTAAAACATGAACTGCAAACAAAAGTACTGTTGTGATATCTAACACTGTTCCAACCCATCATTAGGCAGCATGATGTTTGGTATAAATTCTCACTGGGCTGAACAAAGATAACAGACATGTCATAGAACTCTTCTGCTTTTATTGTGCAGTCACCTTAATTCTGGCAATAAGCGTACTATTTAGTCTCAAATGTGGTAGCTAAAAAGCCCTTGATTTTTACAGTACACTTCAATAAGCTCTCAACTCCAACAACAAACTTCTCAAAGGTGCTGGTGGCTCACAAGCCACAACACATTTCCATGAGCTCCGCAGTCCCATTACCAACTTCAGTACAGAGTACGGGGTAGAATATGATAGCCAGGTTTGCCCAGGCAAAGCAAGGGAGGAGAGAAATAAAGGTGGAAAAAAGAGAAGGAGAACAAAGAAGATCACCAGTCCTTAGATCCCACGTTGCTCCTGTTGCTGGGATGATCCAGAGCTGGGGAAGTAGGTTCCTTCCAATTCACCATATTCAGTGATTCTGTGATAGCGAGACAAAGCAAGGAAAGAGAGGAAAAAGACTGAGGGAGCCCAATCTGCTTCCTTCTACAGTTAATCTGGTGCACACCTCTTAGGTAAACTAGATTTTTCACATTGTGTTGTTCACAAACGCACAGTTAACCCTTTGAGCCCTCCTCCAGGAAGGAAGTCAGGGTGGTGGGAGAGAAGGGGATGGACACAGGACTGAACATGAGTCTCAAGATGGAGGAGGAAGCTGGCTTAGAGCAGAGCTGCCCCACCTCCATGGGAACCTCTCCTCTAATCATACCTTTCTTGTCACAACGATCAGAATGTGTTAGACAAAACATACTCATGCCTGGTCCTCCACAAACATGTTTCACTTTATGCACCAGATTAGGGATGCTGATCTCATGCTGACATTTTCCTGAATTTAGATGGCACTGTTTGACGGACGTGACCCTAGGAAGATTCTTACTCAAAAGGCAGAGCATTCTAAAATTTAATAACAGCAGTGATATTTTCCGTCTAATTAATATTGCTGAAATAAATGAGAAATGGTATTGGCAGATTTCAGTTCCATCCTCATGACTGCTCCTTAAAAAGCAAAATTGTGTATTTCTATTCATCTATTTGTTTTTACTGAAGCACATCCCACATTTACAAATTGCAAACCGCTATGCTTTTATTCCTTCTACTGTTAGTATAGACACACTTCTGGGGCTTGCTGACATCAATACTTGATTTTCCATAAAACCACACAGGGTCTTTAATTTTGCAATATTACTCAAATGAGAGAATCTCTTCCAGAAGCCCCATTAAACCTATATGCATTGATATCCTTCTGCATGTATTTCTATATAGGCATACCTTCAGGATATGCTTTGTTTTCTTTTCATTAATATAATTTAT